TTAAAAGTTAAATTCATACCTTCTAAAGTTTTGTTTGTATCCCTGTATTTTCTTATAACCAAACATAATTTACAATTGAAAATGATACACTATTGTGGGTATAACAATTGTGGCTATTCCAGTCGCACGGTGTGGTATGGGCTAAGCTATATAATTTTTATTATTTTTTACATGTTTAAATTTTTTATATTTTTTTTGTACAAATTTTTTATAAAAATATTTTATTTAATTGTTTGTTTATGTTTGACGCTTATTGGTCTTTGAAGGCATTTTCCTCTACCTCACTTGTTACTTTTCTGCCCTCAAAAAATAAAGATATCATAAACATGCAAAAGACGGCGAAACTTGAGGGAAAAGCAACAATTAAATGATGGAAATCAACAGCAGCAAATGATATGAACCATAGAAGAAATGTGGGAAAAAGGTAGACTAGTGGAACAACAATGACTAGTAAAAGGTTTTAATTGTTTGGTGTAGGGTTGCAACTTAAGTGGGCTAACCCAATTCAACCCAAACTCAATCCAGAAAATTTGAAATTTAGGCTTTTAAATTCACAAATCGGGCTACCAACCCAACCTAACACAATCTAACCCAAAATAAAAAAATAAAATTTTATTTTTTTCTCCCTCCTCTCTCCTCTCTCCTTTCTCTTCTTTTCTTTTCCCTTCATTTTTATTCTTCTATCAGGTGAAGGAGGGAGAGAGAGCAAAACTGGAGAGAGGAGAGAGAAGGGAAAAGCGAGAGAAGAGAGAGGAGGAGAAAGAAGGAGAGAAAAAGAAAAGAGAGAGAAGAGAGAGGAGAGAGAAGGGAGGAAAAAAAAAATCGATTCAATGATGATTCTTAAAAAAAAAAAAAAAAAAAAAAAAAAAAAAAATTATAAAGAGGGCAGGCATACCCCAGATTGTATTCTAGTGTTTTTTTTTTTTCCCCCCATCCCAATAATTGTATTCCAGTATGAAAAAGCCCATTGTGGTTATAAAGTAAATATACATATAGGATATTTGTAAAAAATAATAATAATAAAATAAATAAATAAAATTGACCTGTAAAACTCATCCGACCCATCCAAAATATTCGAGTTGGGTTATAGATGTAATGTTTCCAATTTTTACCATTTTTTATTTTCTGGAATTTTTTTTATTTTTTGAGGGTATTTTCATCTTTTCTAGTTTTGCGTGCCGAACACCATGAGATATGCCAGGTGTGTCTGAGAGTTGGTTGGGGCATTTAGGACTCTTGAAAATGCAATGATTGCAATTTCGGCATTTTTCTGTTTTTCGGGCCAGGAGGTCCTAAGTGGGACCTACTACCTGAATTGTTGTGCACAGGAGTTGTGTCACGGGTCCACTACATTTCATGCATAATTATTTTGTGCATAAATTCATTGTTGTAAGTTAAAATTTTGTAGTTGGAATTTAATTTGTGTGTGTGTGTGTGTGTGTGTGTGTATATATATATATATATATATTTATGTCAAAATGAAAGGAAGACTTTTTTTTGTCTAGTGGGAACCATCATATCAACCATTTTAATGGTCTTAAAGCCATTTTTGGTTCATTAGACTTCCATTCTCTCCCTCACACGAAATTCCTCTCTCTTTAACTTTTCTTTTTTTCACAATCTTTAAGCTTTGATTTCTCTTCAACCCTTGAGAAATTGCTAGTTCCACTTAAGACAAAGTATGAGAGCTCGTCGAGCTCTTCGTTTTGATCAGAGCCATTCTTGATTTGGTATCCTTGGGATTTTTTAAATTAGGGCTTGGAATTGGGGCTTTTTGCATCCTTTGAGGTAGAGGTTTTCTAAGGCCCAATCTCTTTGATTTTGTGAATTATCTCTTCAATTGAATGTATAAGCATGCTTATATTTTTATTAAATTCTTGAAACATGAGTTTTGTGTGAATATATATGATCTTATGTGTTGTTAAATGTATGTGACTATATGTTGATCATTGTGTTGGGAAAAAGTATGTTTTAAGTGATTTTATTCCATGCCTTTTGTATTTAAATTACCATAGTTATAGTGTGAAAGTATGGTATTTGAATTGCACAATTTTTCTTAAGTATGATATGTGGTTTAAATGTGAATATGTGAATAATTATAGCATGGAAAGACATGATGCATTCATGCATCACATTGGGCAAGAAAAAGGGAAAATTTTGATTTGAAATAGAAAGAAAGAAAAATGGTTTTGAGGAAAAGTTTTAATGAAGGTTTTGCAAAAACCCGGTCTCCTAGGAGTTGCCTAGGGTCCGTGGCGTTGGTGTAACCTAGAGGGGACTAGGGAGACTGCCTAGTGTGGTTGAGTTACGTTGCCCTAAATGATGCCATGGAGTTGCTATAGGTCAAGGACAGTTAGCCAATCCTCCTCTCGTGCCGCCATGGAGTTGCCATAGGACGGGTTTCACTAACGGTTTGGAAATGACGACGGAAAGGATTTTGAAAATAGGGAGTGACATTCCATAACATTGCACTCCATTGCATGGCATGACTCATCACGACTTTGACTCGTTGTTATTAAAATGTTGCTGAGTTTTTTCCCTGGCTTAGCATGATCCCATTCTCCTTATTTCTATTCGTTGTTTGGATTCATGGGGTCACAAGAGGTGTGTCTTAGGCACCTCCTATTGAGCCATTGTGCTTACCCCTTTATTATTAACATTTTTTAGGACACGAAAAGGGAGTGGCGGACAACAATCCACCACTAGTTTAGTCGAGTTAACAGACTTGGACTCTTTTGTTCTCGATATGTATATTACCCCCCTTTTTGTTGTAAATAGTATTAGGAGTCATTTTGTATCTATTACATGGTTGGAAATGGTCTTGAGACCATTCTCTTGTAATTTGTGGTCTCATTATGATTTTAATATCCATGTAAGGCTTTAAGGCCATATTTTGATGTAGGACGGACTTGTTTAACTTTAATGGTGTAATGGACTCATGTATTGTTTTATTTGAATGTAATGTTACCTAGTTGTATTAATTTCATCATCAAATGAAAGATTTGGGACAGATTTGGGCCTTGAGTAAGGTCACCAAGGGACCAAAGGAGTGTCTATATGCACAAGTTCATAATTTTAAGCTTTTTGGGGCAATTTCAGGGTTCTGGGCATCTTGAACCGGTTCAACCCCATTGAACCCGTTCAAGGGGGTGCATTTGGTTTTTGAGTGGGCACACTACCCATCTTGAACCGGTTCAAGCCCCCTAGTGCACTAATTTGGCTTCCTCAGTTGACAGCTTGGACCACTTGACTTCGGGCGGTCGTAACTTCTTCGTTCCGAATCCAAATAGGATCATTCTTAAGTCCATGTTCAAGGTTTTTGAGTTATCATTCTAATGAGACCAACCTCATCTTCAAATTCCATTCATGCTGAGAGTTATGGTTGTTTTAGTGGAGTAGTGTCAGAATTTTCCTTGAATCGAGTAAGAGTACTTTTGGGAATTCAAGATCGATGACCGTAGAGCCCCTTCGAATGTCATGGAATGACTAGAATAATTATTTTAAACTTCATTTGACTAGTTAAAGGGCATATTATCCTCTCATATTGTAAAATGACCATTTTATCTCTAGTGTGTCATCGGATTTGGGTAAGGACTCGGTTAGCGATTCGAACCCCTAGTTTGGGTCGTTACAATAAACCTAACCCATTTTGGATAGAATTTGACCTGACCCAACCCAACTCGATTCGGGTTGAGGTTGGGTTGGGATTGGGCGGGTTAAGCTAACCCAACTTGCAACCCTAGTTTGGTGTATCTATAGCAAACACCAACATAAAAAACGAAACCATGTTTTTGTAGAGATATTTTTTGGTACAATTTTATTTACCCTGGCGTAGCGCAGATCTTTTCCTTCAGTTAGTGTTTAGTCTCATGGACTTTTCAGCTAACTACCTAAGTTTACTGACCACGTACTTGACCTGTTTGACTTAGATTAACTAGGAGTGGCAAATGGTCGGTTTGTGCAGGGTCGAATATGGACTGATTAAATATGAGTGAGCTATGGGTATTTTAGAGAGAGAGAGAGAGTTATGCCCTGCATGCCATGGGTCCATGACCTATATAAAGTTCAACATATGTTTGAATTTTTTAAAATGTTTTTAATTAAAAGTGTTATTGTTATTTGTCTAATCCATTCGTAATTCTAATTACTAATTCGTTGGTCGTCTTTCAATCATAAAACCATGACAAAAACCTTCATCTCTCTCTCTCTAAAAGTAATAATACTAATTAGCAACTGCAACAATATGTCAGAATTTTGGGTATGGTGGTGCTGGGCTGCATGTGGTGGTTATGGAAACATTGCACCAACATACAGAATTTTAGAGATAGAATTTAGTGATACAATTTTTGAGAGAGAGAGAGAGAGAGAGTGAGTGGGAGAGGCTGAAGGAGAATCATGTGAGAGAATTTTAGAAATAAAGAAGAGGTGAATTTGAATCAAAGTGATTATTTTGAGTCTTTTATATAATAGGGGAAGTATGAGTATTTGTACTAAAGTCGTTTAACTTTTTATATAAATTGTTTTAATACGAGTCACTCATATTACTCAAATTTATTTTAAAATAAAAAAATATAAACGAATTGATCATGAATCACTCTACCACATCTAAAATTATCCCATAAAGAGAACACACAACCAAGGTAATTAAAAAAAAAAAGAGTAAAAATAACGTGGCTCAACAAAGAAAAAGATTTGCACGAGTGAAAAACTACTTACTTTTATTATAAAAAAATTACAACACTCAACGAACTACCAATAGTTAATCCATAGTCCATACTTGAACAAATAAAAAAGGACCACCTCTCTCGCTCTCTCGCTCGCTCGCTCTTGGCCCTCAATCCTTTCTCATCCACTCAACTTTTCTCTGCCCACTTGTAGCTGCCACAAAAGCTATTCTCATCCACTCACACTTGTGGCTGCGGACTTAGCTGCCACAAAAGCTATCCATTACTTCTTCATTCCTATTTCCTGTGGCTTCATTAAACTCCAGCTCATAGACATCTGTTGACATACAAAGCTATCCGTCCAATGTACCAATTGTGGTGGACAACACACCTCCCAACGAATCACAGCACACCGTTTGATTTACTGTTCTCATTCTTTCATTGCATGACATCACATGTTTAGTTCGTTTTCACCTACTAACTCGAAATTAAATAAAAAATTCAAAAAAAATTCATACATACAAATAGATTTTATTTGGATAAATATCTATCAAACTCCACATTACTCATTAATGTCAATGGCTCTTGATTAATTTTCATCTCTTGCCCATATACAAGGAATGAAGAGATTGTAGCATTCCATCTATACATACATACATACATATATTAATTCTTCCTCTCTTCTTAATGGATATTTATACGAATTTGGTACCAAAATTTTATCTGGGTGCTATATTGCTAATACTTGGGCTATTGTTTCCTACCATAAACAAAGCAGGTCTCCTCTCTCTCTCTCTCCCCCCATAGAAGTGATTTCATATTGTATGTGCTAGTGTTTGCTCATCATTAATTCTTGTACCCTGTAAAGTAATTTCACTACTTTCAACAGTGAAAGTCACCATTAGGATGACTTTCCTTTATACATTGTTGCTCATATTAGTCTAGTTTTCTCCTATTGCATACAGGAGCACAATCCATAGGTGTGTGCAATGGACTAAATGGCAGCAATTTACCATCGGCGCAGGAAACTGTAGACTTATACAAATCCGAAGGCATTGGGAGGATGCGAATCTATAATCCAGACCAAGCAACACTGCAGGCCCTTAGAGGATCCAATATAGAACTCATCCTCGGCGTTCCGAACTCAGATCTTCAACCGCTTGCATCCGATGCTTCAGCCGCAACTCAATGGGTTCAGAAGAATGTAATAGCCTACTCACCCGATGTCAAGCTCCGATACATTTCTGTGGGAAATAAAGTTGATCCCAACAATCCTACAAGTCCTTTTGTTCAGTTTGTTCTCCCCGCAATGCGAAACATCCACAACGCGATTGTAGCAGCTGGATTACAAGACCAAATCAAGGTTTTGTTGCTTTGCTCTGCTCTGATATCATTTTATTAAAAATAAAAATAAAAAAAAAGGCTAAATGCGCACATAAATTAGTCATTTGGAACTTTACTAGGTTAGTATAACGGGTAGACACTTGTCCGTGGAACTTGTCTCTTTCTTATAGAGAATTACCGAGAGAAGAAGACTTGAAATATCTTTACTAATTACTCTTATACTATATCCTCTTGATCAAAGGACTAATCCTATGTTCACTCATCATTGCGGGTTCTGATGTACGATTGTCTTGCTGGTTTAACTTCTAATCGGGAGTCTATCGCCAAATTAATAGAGTTTCTTATTCAATCTTTTCTGGATCATTTTATTTGGTAGAGATTGAAGGAATTTTTTATAATTTTGATTCATAAAAAATTTAGGCAAATATATTTTCAGTTTCAATTTAAAGTCGATTATAGTTGTGGAGGTGGGTGTGAGTTGGACCGAAGAATTAGGGCTTAAAAGTCTCATGCCTTTTGGTTATACATAACTTTCACAATTGATCGCACTTATTACTCCTTCTAAGATAATTAAATAATTTAAATGCACGCATGCATCATGCATTTTAAAATTTTTGAACGACAAAATAATAAAATAAAGTTTATTTTCTAACAGATTTCAACAGCAACACATGTGCACCTTTTGGGCAATTGGTACCGTCCGTCACAAAGCGTATTTGCAGAGAGGGCACAGTCGTTCATGGAGCCAATCATCGGCTTCCTAATTAACAATAGTGCCCCATTACTCACCAGCATATACCCTTACTATATCTATGTTAGTGACACACAAAACTTTCAGCTTCCTTATGCCTTATTTACTGAATCAGGAGTAATTGTACGAGACGGTTCGTTAGGCTACACAAACCTTTTTGATGTTTTGTTGGATGCCATGTACTCTGCTGTTGAGAAGGTAGGTGGACGGAGTTTGAAGATTGTGGTTTCGGAGAGTGGCTGGCCGTCTGCGGGTGGTACTGCAGCAACTGTGGAGAATGCAAACACTTACTATAGAAATTTGATGAATCATGTCAAGGGAGGGACTCCAAAGAGGCCAGGGAAGGCTATAGAAACTTATTTGTTCGCCATGTTTGACGAGAACCAATCTAAAGGGGAAGAGATTCAAGCTCATTTTGGCCTGTTCGATCCTAATAGGCAGCCTAAATACCAAATTTCTTTTAAATTAGTTTCTTTTTATTTCTATTGTCCTGTCAGATAACTCCCCACAATACTCTTGGCAAACTCAAACTCTGTAGATACAATTACATATATATGTGTGTGTGTGTGTGTGTCAAATCTCTCTAATTCATTTTAAAAATTCACCACTATCTTAAATGAAAGCAATTTATCAAGGTCCATGGCCTAATTGTATCTAAAGAGTTTGAGTTCTTCAAGAGTATTGTGGGAGTTATTTGCACACAAAAAGTAAACTAGTATTAGAAATCCTTCTAATTAACTTTAGGGACAAGTGCTGAAAACACTCCTCCTAATGTATACTCTTGTAGTACTTTTATCCTCTATTTGAAAAGTGTGCAAATTAAAATCACTCCTAATTTTTTCAAATTGTGGGAAAATACCACTCATCCAAAAATTTAACATAAATTAGTGTTGTAATATCTATTTTATCCTTTTTAATCTTTCAAAAATGCTCAAGAAGTGTATATGCTACTTCTTATGGTATAGGGTGCACATTATTATTATTATTATTATTATTATTCTAGATTAGGCTAAATTGGTTTTGTGAGATATATTTTTGTAAATTGGCATATTTCGGTAACAAAATAAGTCCTAGTCGAGTTGTAATTTCAGTTACCATATCAGACTCAACATTGACTGCGGAATTCAGAGGTTGAATAAAAGAGAAAAGAGGTTGAATAAAAGAGGAAAGTACTGTTGCTCATTGAAAAGGAAAGAATAACACATTAGGACATCGTTTCCCACTAAAGACACAATAATATACATGGTATATTTTCAAAGTTCCAAAAATACAGAATTTCCATGTTCATATTGGATTCTGTCAAGCGGGAACTGGTACCAAGATTTGGGAATCAGTTCCAGAAGCTGCAATTCGAAGAACTCTTTACTGTCCTTTAGGAACCAGTAGCAAGATTGGGAATCGGTTCCACAAGTCCTCATTGCAAAAGGTTACAGTTTCCTTGTTCTGTTTAATACTTTTTTTATTCCACTTTCCTTCCAAGTCCTATGCACAAAATTTCCTTCATTTTCAAAAGGAATAGGACTTTGCAAACCTCTATATAAACCATGTCATATACATTGGTTTATTCACAGCTTTTGATCTACAAATTCATTATTCTTAAAAGCTTTAGGAAGATTATTTTTCCAAAAAATCAGAGTTGATTTTTCTGTCATCTTTCTAAAACACATACACATAAACACATAGAGAGTTTAGAGTTGTGGTGTTCAAATCCTGATCATGATCATACGGTTGCATCTACATCGATCAGATGAAAGCAGATCTACTTCTACATCGAATTCAGACGATTGAAGAATAGAAATAAAAGCGATCACACTTTGAAAGGGTTAGAGCATTCAAGGAGTGTTATCTAATCTACCTGCTACTCTTCTACAAATATCAAGCATAAGCCTGAGGTCAAATTGCTGTTGGACAGGGAGTCGCAAAGCTAGAGGATTGTCAGCAGTTGGTGTTTGGTAGAACGATAGGATGTGAGCCAGAGTCAAAGTTCAATGTACTTTGTTTCAAGCATAGTGGATCGGTTTACTTTAGACTGCACAGTCCGCGAGGTTTTTCTCGTAACGGTTGGCGTATTTTATTAACTGGAGTTTCCTCGCTAAAATTCTGGTGTCATCTTTAACTTTATACTTTACTTATTTTATCTGCATGTGATTAATTATTTAATTGCTAAAATAAGTAAATTTGGTAAAGACACAGATCTATTTTAAAACAAACAAAATTTTCTTAAGTATTTTCAGCTGCGTACAACTCACAATTTGGTATCAGAGCCAATCTCTACACATTGAGTTAATCCTTGCAGGAAAGTTTTGTTTTGTTTTTCAAAAATTGTTTTCAAAATCATGTCTTATGCGTTGAAAGAATGTGGTTCTAATCAACGTGATCCTTTATTTGAAGGAGATAATTACAATTTTTGAAAATCAAAGATGAGAGCTTATTTGCAAAATTCTGGTTGTAAAACTTGGGCAATAGTTGAATCTGGCTATACACCTCCTACAGTAGATACAACTGTGGATGGTAAAATAGTCAAAGAGTTAAAAGATACTTTTGCTTTTACTACTATTGAAACTGAGCGTAATGATGCTAATGGTAAAGCTTTTTATTCAATTATTAATTCTGTTGTTCCATCTGAATATGCTAGAATTTCTGATTGTAAAACTGCTAAAGAAGCTTGGGATACTTTGCAGGTTACTCATGAAGGAACTTCAAAAGTGAAGTTGTCCAAAATGTAGTTGTTTTCTCATAAATTTGGGAACATAGTGATGAAAGAAGATGAAACCTTTTCTGATTTTTATTCTAGTCATCTTGAAATAATTTCTGAACTGCGTTACTTAGGTAAAAAAGTTAGTGATAAGAAAATCTGTGAGAAAATCTTAAGGTCTTTACCTAAAAGATTCCAGATTAGAGTTGAAACTATCATTAAACATTGGGATTTGTCTTCCAGTAAAGTAGATAAGATGGTAGGTTCATTGAAAACTTTTGAGATGCAGAACTTTGATTTAAATCAGAAGAGAAAAATCTTGCTTTAAAATCTACACAAGTTGAGAATTCTGTGGATGATGATTCTGATGATGATCTTGCATTCTTGCTAAGGCAATATAGTCAAATTTTGCAAAGACAATAGAGGAGTAGGAATAGCAACATGGCTAATCCTAAAAATTTTGACAAGACATTAAAGTTTAGGTTTAATGAAAAGAAAGTAGAAGAATTAAAAGAAACTGAATTTAGTTGCTCGAATTATGGTGGCAAAGGTCACGCATCCAATATTTATTCTAGTCCTAGGAAAGAACAAAATGATAGGAACAAAGGAAAAGCAATGAAAATTTCTATGTCTGAAATTCTACTTTAAGTGATAATGATTCTCCTCTAGATGATACTAATGATTTTTCTTATGTTGTTTTTCTTGAGAGAGGTCTTCATGTCATGTCTTTGTCTAACTCTGATATTTCAGATAACGAAGCCAATGAAGTTCATGATGAACAGGTGGAAAAGGCTGAAAAGGACGATGAAAGGTTGAAGAAGATGGTCAAAGAAACCATTGGAGTTAAACAGGCAATCAATAAGCTAGCAAAAGAGCTTATCCAAGCAAAATGAGAGAATGAAGATCTAAATAAACAAATTGATGAAGGCAAACGGAAAGCTTTTGAAAGCAATTCTGTCATCACTGAGCTTGAGAAAAAGATCATCATTCTTGCAGAGAAGGTAAGTATTGCTAACTCATTGAAGGAATGTCTTGCTTTGAAAAATAATTATCTTGAAATTGAATTGAAATCTGAAAAAGATAAACTGAAAGGGTTCAATATGAGTTAAAACTATTTGAATAAGATAATCAACATAGGTAAGGATGTGAATGATAAAACAGGGTTAGGATTTGTTAAAGGTTCTTCTAGTAAATAAGGTAAAACAACATTTGTTAAACCTGCTATTATGCCTAAGCCATGTTTGCCTGATGCATCACATTCTGATATGTCTTATGTGCCTAAATTGTTGCATTGCACTTTTTGTGGAAAGAATGGACATAAGTATAACTCATGCCTTCATAAGAAAAAGAAAGATTTTTCTAAAAATCATTCTCAAAATTCTCATGCTAAGAAAAAGGTGCGTTCCAGGAAGAAAAAGAATGTTGTGTCACCTAAGATTTCTAGAGTTGAAAATTTGCCTAAGAAAGAGGTAAAGAAAGAAAAAGAATTTCATGAAATGAGAGTGAGAACTATTTGGATCAAAAAGTATGATTTGATCAATTATGTGCCTGTTGAGTCCATGGAACAAGTTTCCAAAAGGACTTCACCTTCAAACTAACTCCTATGAAATTCAGTGATCATGGCTTGTATTTAAAAGTAAAATTTTGTTGTCATTGGATCACTTGTTAGGGTTTGGAGTTTCTGATCATAGTCTTCATGATATATTTGAGAAAATTCTTCCATTGAATTTATGATCAATCTTTGAATACAAATTTGGACACATGATTTTTGATTAAAAATATATTCTTGGTTTGTAATCTATACAATGAAAGTTCATTTGAATTGATTAAGGGATGTTTAGATTTAAATATCTTAAGTTAATAACCTTCTGTGCACTAGTCCAAATCTGAAAATTTTGATTGAAAATATTTGAATTGTTGACTAGGGTATATTGATCATAAAAGTTATAAAGGTTATTATCTGAAAAAAAAAATAAAAAATAAAAAATAAAAAATAAAAAATAAAATCAGCTTGAAAAAGAAAAGAAAAATGTGAAAAGTGTTGAATTCTTTATTTAGGATAAGGCTACCTATTGAGATGTGTTCGAAAGCTCCCATTAAACTTTGAAGAGGAGCTAAATGAGTAAAAAGAAAGGTGAAGACAAGTTAAATTGGGGAATTGTTGTCTGCCCTTTAGAGTGAAAGCCACCTTACTTAGAAAAATTATTCAAAGACAATTTTATCTTGATATATTTCGGTTAATATGGTTTGGACAATGATTTATTGATAATTGATTGAAAATTGATGAGATGTATTGCACACACACACTTGGACTTGCTAGATTGATTTCTAAATATTTCATTAAGATTTGGAAGTTAAAATTCGTGTTGTGATTATTTCCTAAGAATTGAAATTAATTGAATATTCTGTGGAGTCAAAATTTTTGTTAAAGGATATCTCTGAAAATTTTCTGAAAATTTAGATCATGTGTGACTTAAATTACTTTGATTGACTATTCAATGATTTGTTCTTAATTTTGTTTAAAATAAAAATAAAAAAATAAAAAAATGGAAAAACTATCATTGAGTGATTCAAAAAGTCCGATAGAAAAATTTTCTAGAAAAATTTCAAGTCTAAAAAGCATTATGTCATCTTCCTGTAATGTCTCCAAATTTTTCTATTTTTCAATTTCTGGAATTTTCTGTTTTTGCAAGGGCATTTTCGTCTTTTGCCGTTTTTCGTACCGGACACTGTGGAGTGTGTCGAGTGTGTCGATGAGTTGGTTGGGCATTTTATTGACCCTTTGAAATGCAAGGGTTGTCATTTTGTATTTTTTTCAGTTTTCGGGCCGGACTGACCCGTGTGGGACCCACTGCCGGAATTGTCGAGTACGGGGATTTTAGTTGGATCCATTTGCATCATATTTACTTTATTTAATGTGTTTAAAGTGATTGTGAATTAAATGTGTATATATGTATGTGTGTGATGTAAAATGGAAATAAAAGAAAAAAGGAAAATAAATTATTTTGAGGTGGGGCCCACTACCACTTTAAGTGGTCAAGAGATCACATTGATCTCACATTTCTCTTCTTCACATTCTCTCTCTCCGCTAGTCTCTCTCTCTCACCCCTTTCCCTTGCTTTTTCTTTTTCAT